GGTGGACCCACCTAACAGAGTTATAACCAATAATGGAGATCTACCAAAACTCCTGGTGAGCTACAGAATATGCTACTAAGAAAAACCAGAACCAGTCATGGATTAGTGATGGTTTACAACCTGTGACAATGAAACCTATGCCCATTTCCCAACAGTGATGACCGCACTGCAGCCCTTCCAGAAACCAACCTCAAGAGGGACGCCTGGGAGCTGCTGGTCCAGAACCTGGGCCTTGGACAGTGCAGGGGCCTCACAGAAGGCCAGGAGCCCAGAACCACCAGCAGGTGGGCAGCAGCAGGTCAGGATTATCAAGAGTCAGCCCACTGACCACATCTGACCAAAATGTTTCTGAAGAGTTTTCTGCTTCTCAAAACCGACATTTTGACACAAAAAATCACAACTAGCCTTCTGATAAACATATCTCTTCATCGTGTACCAGCTATCTTTAAAAAATGAAACTAACCTCCAGAGAGAGCTACTGGATGGCTGGTTACATGGAAAGGGGAGACTTTTTACCAGAGCCTTTTAGACCTCTGAAATCTCCCACAGTGAACATGCATTACCTACCAAAAAGATTTAAAAACTGATTTTCATCAAATTAACTTAACAAGGGGTGCCTGGGTGGCTCAGTCGTTAAGCGTCTGCCTTCGGCTCAGGTCATCATCCCAGGGTCCTGGGATCGAGCCCCGCATCGGGCTCCCTGCTCTGCGGGAAGCCTGCTTCTCCCTCTCCCACTCCCCCTGCTTGTGTTCCCTCTCTCGCTGTGTCTCTCTCTGTCAAAAAATAAATAAAATCTTAAAAAAAAAAAAAAAAATTAACAAATCTGTATTTTGAGAAAAGCCTTTATTTTTCCATTAGTTTACTCTGTAAAAGTAAGGAGATAAAACAAGTTCTTTTAGCTTGGTATTTTAAAGTCAGGCCACTTTTAATTACTTATCAGAGTAAACCATGTACATCCAAACACTACTGATATGTATAAATTAAAAACTTAAGGGCTCCAAGCTGAGTATGGAGCCTACTTTAGAAAAAAGAAAAGAAGAATTTAAAGGTGGGGTAAATTGTATGGCATGTGAATTATATCTTAAAGCCATTGAAGAAACTTTTTAAGGTAAAATCTCCCTCCTTAACACCCAGAGGTATCTTCCTCTTAGCTTTATAAAGCAACATTCCACTGTTGATAGCACAATTTATATAACCAGTTCTCCATTAGTAGTTTCATTATAGCCTCTTCTCCCTTTAAAAAAAATTTTGCAACGAGCATCTTTTCTGTGTACTCATCTGCACATATCCCTAAGATATGTTCCCAACAGCGGAGTTCTGGAACGAGTACGTATATGCATTTCACATGCTGACTATGCCCTGACAGACTGCCCTCCTTCAGATATGGCTACTCCAAAATGCCCTTCATTCTTCAGGGCAGAAGGACTTCTTCTACTGGTTATCAAACATTTTAATATGAACCATCTATAAGATCAACAATTATTTTTAAGGAGTTGGGGGGAAGAGTGGTTACCTTTTTAACTGAAAAAGTAATTCCTCTAGGTGGAATAGTACTTCACATAGTACACAAAGGTCTCTTGCCCTGCTCTAACCCTCAAACCAAGTTAAAAGTGGTTGTAATCTCTTGGGTTCCTCTAAAACACCTCTCTGCACATCTAAACATGTTAACAAGTGTACAACACCCTTCCTTATTAAAAAAACAAAAAACAAAAAAACAACCACACACTATGGAGGGGCACCTGGCTGGCTGAGTGGTACAGCATGGAACTCTTGATCTCGGGGTGATAAATTTAAGCCCCATGCTGGGCACACCGCTCACTTAAAAGCAAGTAAGTAAAAATAAGGATGTATGCAATTTAAAACACTGTTAAAAAACAAGACACGGGGCGCCTGGGTGAGCATCCAACTCTTGGTTTCAGCTCAGGTCCTGATCTCAGGGTCACAGGATCGAGCCCCATGTAGGGCTCCGTGCTCAGAGGGGAGTCGGCTTCTTCCCCTCTCCCTCTGCCCCTCCCACTTGCATGAGTGCCCACTCCCTAAAAATAAATCCTAAAAATAAATAAATAACATATTAAAAAAAACAAACACTATGGGGACGAGCCTGGGTGGCTCTGTTGGCGACTCTTGATTTCGGCTCAAGTAATGATTTCAGGGCTTGTGAGATCAAGCCCTGCCTCTGGCTCTGTGCTCAGTGCGAAGTTTGCTTATCCCTCTCCTTCTGCCCCCAAACCTACTCCTGCATGTGGAGCTCTCTCAAATAAATAAATAAAATCTTTTTAAAAATTAAGTTAAATTAATAAACACTAGGGAAGCATGATATCACACTTTGCTTATCCACTTAATCTGTCTTGCAGATAATCTCACATCAACAACACAATGAACTAGCCCAATTCTCTTTTCAGTTATACATCATTCCATCCTAAAGAGCAACTATGATTTAGGCAGTCCCTTATTGAGGAAGTTTACTTGGTTCCTGTTTTCTGCAGTTATAAATGCTGAAGGAACATTCTAAAACAAATGTATCTTTGTACATATGCAAGCATATCAGTGAGATATAATCTTAGAACTGGCCATGCTGGCATGTACTTTCACATCTTGAGATGTTGAGTTACCCAGGAGGTGTATCAGGATCATTTAATCCCCCATGTCTTCAGTTTTGAGTGAGGGTGAGCACCAGCCATAGGATTAGATGCCCACCAGGCAATGTCCTTTTCTATCCTTTGCCCATTTTTTTATTGAGCCATTGATACCATCTATGTCCATTATGATGAATTTTACATATAAAGATAACCAGCCCATCATCATAAACACTGTAAATATCCTGTTCCAGTTTATTCTCATTGTACGTATGGGAACTTTTTTTCAGTAATCTTCACACCCAACGTAGGGCTTAAACTTGCGACCCCAAGATGAAGTCACATGCTCTTCAGACTGAGCCAGCCAGGCGACCCATGTACAGGTAGGTACTCTTGATAGGCTAAATTTTAAGTTTTTATACAGACAAATGTACCCATCTTTCTCTTATAGCTTCTAGACTTTATAGCATCAAGATGACAAAACAGAATTCATTTCCTGGGGATCCAACTGGGTATTTTCCTACTGGCTAATGCATAGTTTTCAATAATATTCATTAAAAAACAAAACAAAACAAAAAAACACACTCCACTTTCTGCACACTGGCTGGACACAACTCCTTCAAAATATACTAAATGATTCTGTGTGTTTCAGTCACTGACACCATTTCTTCTATGAATGTTTTCTAACTTTAAATTCATCAGTCATTTAAGAAAATGCACTGACCAGACGCCTGAGTGGCTCGGTCAGTTAAGCGGCTGCCTTCGGCTCGGGTCATGATCCCAGGGTCCTGGGATCGAGTCCCGCATTGGGTTCCTTGATCAGCGGGGAGCCTGCTTCTCCCTCTGCCTGCCACTCCCCTTGCTTGTGCTTTGCTCTCTCTCTCTCTCCCTCTCTCTTTGACAAATAAAATCTAATAAAAAATAAAAAATGCACTGACATTCTGATTTAGTAGAAATGCTAAGACTTCTGATCCAGAAAACATTACTAAACCTGAGATTTCAATACACCTGTGTACATATCAGTCTCTGGAACCTGACGTCCCAAAGTAATGGCCTCTTTGCATAAGCATCTGCAGGTTACTGAAGAATGAAAACTCACAATATAGAAAAATTCCCTTTCCAAGCCTCTTCTGTTAGTCAAACTGTTGCTAAAGGCATTTTTAGTTAATTCAAAGATTCAACACTGAGAGCACACTGTGGTTAAAGAATGAATCTGAAAAAGAATTAATTTTAATTACTTTTAAGACTACTGTTAAAGACAGTTTACTCCGGCTACAACATATCCTTTAAAATGTCCTTTGGTAAAAAAAAATAAAATAAAGTAAAATGTCCTTTGGTGAAGAGGAGATGCCTTTCCTTGGCTTCCTCACACCAAGCTCTGTCCCTTCCCAGTCTTTACTTAGGAACCTGAATGCCACCAAACCTCTTCACTGACCTTTGATCATACTAGTGATGGAGGATTAGGGAAAAGAAAAAACAAATAGAGTGACTCTAAATCCTGCACTCTCAATGGGTAAAGAGGTGAAAACTGCTGTTAAAGGGTGAAAAAAACCTCTTAGATATCACAATAGTTTGTGGCCTGGAAAACCATAGCACATTAAGGTAATATGCAGGGTTCTGTGGTAACAAAATTCCATAGAAGGGTAGGGGACGAATCAGGAAGAAAATTCTTTAAAAGGGTTCCTTTGGGAGGCAACAGTTTAAAAAAAAGTTGTGAAATTCCATTTTATAACCACTGAGTTGCAAAAATTCTACTTTCGGGTATAAATTGATACCATGGCTTTATCAACAACAGAAGAGAGAAAAAGGACACCATTACAAAACTATCTTGCAAGGATGAACATATGCAATCCCTGTAAGCCAGCAATTCCTCCCCTCGGAATAGACCCTAAATAAATCTAATATGCATACACCAACAATATATTCAAGAACATTCATAATACTGTTTGTAATAGCAAAACAAAACAAAACAAACAAAAAAACCCCACAACCTAGAATCAACCCAAATAATGACTAGAGAGTTTGGGGAATACTCAAGCAGCAATGAGAATAAACCATACCCAACAAAATGGGTAAACAAAAATATAATATTGAATGAAAACCGTTATTTAAGACTGTGCTATGAAACTATTCTTCTAAGGCTTAAAAACAAGCAAAAATACAAAGTTCAAGGAATCATAAAAATATGTAATAACATTTTTAAAAGAAAATGAGACATACAAAATGCACAATGGTGTGGGGGTGGTAGACTTACAGGTAGATACCAAATATTATTGGCTATGTTCTAGCTCTCAGCCCTAGTGGTAGAATAACAAGTTATCTCTTTTGTTATTCTGCTTCATAACTTACAAATATCATCTTATTCTTGTTAGTTGATATTTGGCTCTTCACAGTAAGGATGAATTAACACAAAATAAAACTTACATCTAATTCAAAAAACAGGTCCCTTTCTTTACTTGCAATCTCATAATCTGCTCGGAGGGCCAAGTCGTGGATTTTGGTACATTCTCCTAAATCCATGCGCTGTGAGAAAGAAACAAAAGTTTACACATGAACATCTACCCATTGTAGAAAGCACATGACCTGGTGTTTCAACTGTCACCAAAATAAACAATACCTTTTTGAATAGTAAACTATAATAAAAATATTAAAAAACAGCATATAGCCAAGAAACCTTATTTTTCTTTTACCACCATGTTAATACGACATTTTGATACATTTAAGTGTGAAGGTTTCTGTCTCTTTCAGACCCAGAGATAACTGGACTAATAATGAAGACGATATTTATCAGCTTTTGCTAGTTTTATTTTTGCATCAGTCAAAAAAGAAAAGTCTATTCAGTAAGGCACCTGGGTAGATCAGTCAGCTGACTGTCCAACTCTTGATTTCTGCTCAGGTCATGATCTCAGGGTTGTGTGATAGAGCCCCATGGCAGGCTGTACACTCAGCGGGGAGCCAGCTGGGATTCTCTCTCCCTTTCCCTCTGCCCCTACTCCCCATTCAAGTGCTAAGTAAATAAATAAATAAATAAAATCTTTAAAAAAAAAAAAAAAGAGTAAGAAACATCTACTCAGTGAACAGCAGCATAGTGGAGGGGAGAGGTTGCAAGGAAAAGGCCAGAAAACAAGAGTATCATAAACTGTCTAGGCATTCCTTCCTATAACCTTCACTACTCAGGATGCTCAAATGCCTAAGGTACAGAGGCAAGGAAAAGGAAAGGGCAGATAGCAATCAGGTTTTGGCAATTACAACACAACCTAACACTTAGCTTTGTGTATCTCTTTGTATACCAGAAGGCATAAAGCAGAATAGGCCAATTTAGAGCCAAAAAAATCCTCCAAACATTCTCCTAACCTAGTAAATGACCCTGGATATAAATGGAGACATAGAATCGGGCCACTCAGTTGCCCCATTTGAGAAACAAAAGGTTGTTTCACGAAAACAAATGACCTGTATTACCAGTAAGATTAGCCTGATATGCTACTATGTGTTGTAAGCACATGTAGAACAATTAGACAACAGAGCATATCTCTTAACTAAATTCTGAGTGCAGGACTCTGTGACAGCACCCTCTACCTCTGGCCATCAAGAGCAAAAGGAAAGTTTGTATGCTAAGGATCATGCTATCAAGTCATACAGTGCAAGTTAACAAAACCCAGCATCACAATGAGGAGACACCAAGTCCAAGCACTTGGACCAAAACATGTGTCTACATAACGAGTAAACAGAGAATGATGGAGTCCAGAGCCTCCTTTAAGCTCAAACGACAACTACAACCAAAATGAGTTCAAAAACTTCATGGATTATAAAGTCCTTAACATTTTAGGCAAATTAGGGAGGCTGGTAGTACCTGACTCTTGGGCCCTAGTCTCACAGTAGGCGCATGCCACGTTCACTAACAAAACATCCTTTAGTAAAAACAATGACAGAACCAACAGTGGGCTCCCTAGTGTGGAGCTCATCTTCATTTTGACCAAGGATCAACTTCTGCATTTAAATGCTAAAGACCTCTTTTCTCCTTCATTATTCTTACCGTAAAGTCATATGAGTTCAGGGGCGCCTGGGTGGCTCAGTCGTTAAGCGTCTCCCTTCAGCTCAGGTCATGATCCCAGGATTCTGGGATCGAGCCCCCGCATTGGGCTCCCTGCTCAGCGGGAAGCCTGCTTCTCCCTCTCCCACTCCCCCTGCTCGTGTTCCTGCTCTTGCTATCTCTGTCTCTGTCAAATAAATAAATAAAATCTTAAAAAAAAAAAAAAAAAGTCATACGAGTTCATGTATGTTGGTCACATGGGGGGGATCCAGAGGTAGGGCAACAGTAATTCTATAAGCCAAAGTTGTAGCCAGAATCGCTGTCCCTATATTGCTGACAATTTTTGCTTCGTTCACTCTTTTAAGCATCAGTATGATTCTTTAAAATATACAGTCTCCACAAATGAAAAGCAAGCACCACAGCTGCAAAATAACTGACAAACACCAGAAATGCTTAAAAGCTAATGAAAGCTCTGTATCTCAAAGAAAACCTACCACCAGGAGAAGTAAACACTAAAACCTTAACTACTAAGCATTTTAAGTACAAATAAATTTCCATTCTAGAAACTTCAACTGTCAAGAAAGTTTTGACATTAGCGAACCATCCATGAAGCAAAAATTCACTGCTAGCCTTCCTTTGGTTGAGAACTCTCAAAAAGCCATGGCTAATGCAAGCAGAGGACGGGGCTGGGTTCCACGGTTACTCTCCGACTGTGTATTTTCAGTTTTGCCAAGGAGGTAGGGAAGTACTGGCCAATTCCCCTGGCAGCTAAACACCACACAGAGTTGAAATACTACAGTAAGTCCTCTTCCAAAAGATTTTAAGTGGCTGTTAAATCCAGTGTGTCAGATCTTTTTTTTACCAAACACCTGTGTTGTCTACCCTCTAGTGGTCTCACACTGCTGACAGGGAAGGGTACTAAAGGCTCCTTCCAGAACGTTTGGAAAACAGAAGTTTTTCCACTGAGACAAGTGTAACTTGTTACACTACATTCCCTCCAGCTATCTTACTCTGCCAAACTTACTAACCAATACTGTATTTTCCCATTAAGCCTCAATAAAACTGTAACTTCCATTCCTCCTTGCCTCACCCCTACCAGTGACAGGAGATGGTTTTGAGCAACAACTTGGGCCTGGAGCAATCCTTAGAAGACTGAAGGTTACAACCACCTTCATTTAGCCACTGTGCTCTAAAAATTTAATCACATTCATTCCATTTCAATTTTACACAAAACACAAACTCATCAGAAGACCCATCATTCAACTCCACTCCTCACTTCCCACTTCCATGGAGCCCATACCAGTGAGGCTCACCTTTTACAACCACCCCCATCCAATTTCTCAACCCTCATCCTAATCCTAATCATCCTTGTCGGCTGCTTCTTAGATTCCCCTTGCCGAGCCATCCCTGGCCAACCTGCTCAGTCCATGGCTTCTCACAACTCATCTGATTCCACAGCCTCTGCCTGCCTCTCCCACCTCTCCCCCTCACTCTCACCACTCCAGACACGCCAGCAGCATGCCTGCTGTCCACCGGCTCCATCTTTCACCCAGGGCATTCTAACCCCAAACTGTGCACAATCTTTCTTACCATTCAAGTCTCTGCTCCAATGTCCCTGAGAAACCTTTTATCACTCTACCTAAAACAACCCGTTATCTATTCATTTATTGTCTATCCTCTTCCTCCACTGGATAAAGTAAAGACTTTATTTTACTGGCACCATATATCCAGTGCCTGGCACACAGCAGGTGTTCAATGGACTATTTGATGAGTTAATCTGTAACTAACACACAATAAATATTTGTAGGAAATGCCCCCATTCTGGTTATTTTTCTCACCAGCATTCTGGAACAATGCTACCCAGGGATCTGACACCCCCCAGCCCTCCCTCAAAAAACTGAAATGCTTCACACTCGTGCACATCCATCCCTCTGCTCCTTGGCTTCTCCCACTAAGATCCATCAACAATTCCAGGTTATGATGCCTCCCCTACAGGATTTTCTTTCAGCAGAACTGCTTTTAACTAGCGGAAGCCATTAATCTATGTTAATGGTACCCACAACAATCCACAGCAAAACATATCCCTATACTAGGTCAAACTACAGGCAAAACCTCAGGTAACAAAGGTACACTGTTTGACATTCATTTCCTATTTGCTCTCTGTAGAGTCAGCTTGAGAAGATCTAATACATATATGCGGTTTTCCACAGGCTGCTCCCCTCACAATGGTAATGAGAAAAGCAACAATTAATCATGAAGAAAATGTTCCCTAGTGGATGAACATTTGACCCTTAAAAATGAGCAGACGGTTTTATATTCCATTAAGTGGCTGTGCAATCTGAAAATGGTGGAATGGTGGTGGTATTTACAGGACTCCTTTTCTCTGTGTGGCTGAATCATGGTAGATAATTCTCCAGCTTTTAGTCTTCTTCAATCCTATCTGATTTTGTTTTTGTCTTTTTTTAAGATGTTATTTATTTGACAGAGAGAAACACAGCGAGAGAGGGAACACAAGCAGGGGGAGTGGGAGAGGGAGAAGCAGGCTCCCCGCAGAGCAGGGAGCCAGATATGGGGCTTGATCCCAGGACCCTGGAATCATGACCTGAGCCAAAGGCAGATGCGCAACGGCTGAGCCCCCCAGGCACCCGTCTCTGCTTTTCTTTCACAGCATTTTTATCAGCTTGCAGTGCTGGTAATTACTGTGGTAAAATCTTAAGAAAGGATGGGAAGGGCACCTGGGTGGCTCAGTTGGTTAAGCGACTGCCTTCGGCTCAGGTCATGATCCTGGAGTCCTGGGATCGAGTCCCGCATCGGGCTCCCTGCTCGGCAGGGAGTCTGCTTCTCCCTCTGACCCTCCTCCCTCTCATGCTCTCTGTCTCTCATTCTCTCTGTCTCAAATAAATAAATAAAATCTTTAAAAAAAAAAAAAAAAAAAGAAAGGATGGGAAATGTACCAGTCTTGCTCACGCTTAACAACTGAGTCACCCAGGTGCCCCAATCCTATCTGATTTTGAATAAATGCACATTACATAATACTAGTATTTACCTATTTGGTTCTTCTAAAGTGAACATAAAATTTCAGGGATCGATATTCATTGGATCATGTGTTGATTTCTTGAAAGGGTAACGTAACACAACACTAAAAACTCAGTGTTATACCCAACTGATCTATTAAAAACCTAAGAATTGGGTAAGAAATGTGTCTTGTTAGGGCAACCCTCTCGGATCCCCTCCCTCCTCAGGAACTTTGTACTATCACTCGGCTATCACTCAATAAACCTTACATTGCTGCCCACCAAAAAAAAAAAAAGTACCTCGTTAGATCAAAAGTCTAGCATTAACATATGTTCAACATGAAAACCAACCCACCAATCCCGAATTTTCAAAGAACTATAGGCTGACCTAAAGCATACTTTTTTGGTTTGGCCAAATGACACTTCTCATACTACTTAGCTGTGAATACCTCCATATAAATGATTCTACAAAAATATGATAAGTTACAAAAAGAAATTTTTATAGCAGTGAAGTATACCCCATAACAAAATTCCATCAAACTAACAATCTATCATTTGAAAGGCAGTAGGAGATTTCTGCCTGGTAAAGAAAAACAATTCAACCTTCACTGCCTACACAGCCCCCAAGTCTGAGTGTTCTATGATATTCCCCCAAGCCCGAATACACCTACCGTCCCAGCCAGGATATCATGAGGGCAGCAGTCCAGAAGGTGACTCTTGCAGACACGGTCATCTGTAAACTTGACCCTCTGTCTGGTTTCGTCTCCTGAAATTCATTTGTGGTTTTAAATAAGACAATATTATCACGTTAAACACCAAAGCATATCCGGTACAACAATTCACCTGGATGATTGGCAGACTACCAAATACAATGAAAAGCTGATCTAGAGATATTTACAACTGGAGCGGAATACAGATGTTTTTTGATGCTAAATGTATCATGAAGAATCACACTTAATGAGATCTGACTCCATCATTGTGCCAAAGAAGTCAAGGAATCTGAAGAGGCTGAGCACCAAAAGGCCATTAACCCCACACATACATGTGGGCAGTAATACCAAAACCCACGCTAATCAGAGGGCCATGAATCACCACATATGACTTATAGCTGGTAGTTTCCACCAACAGAAGCTACATATTAATCTAATCATTTTGCCATGCACAAATGCATAGGCAGTATTTTGCCCAAAATCACATGAAGAAGAAGGCTTTCAAACTCTACCACTGACTGATAAATAATCTAGACCTAATCTTCCTATCCCCTTCACCCCCACCCTTAAAAAAGAAAGTTGGCACCTGGGAGTCACTTTTAACAAGACAATACCAAAGGAGAAAAAAAAAAAGGGAACTAGGTTAGTCAATACACACTGTGAGTTCCAACACATACTGTACCCATCTGCATTCTTCAAGACCTCAGCTGCAGAATTTTATGCCCGCTGTTGAAAAGTTTTAAAGGAAAAGTTTTCTTGCCCAACCTGCAGTAAGGAAGTCAGGGGAATGATACATAAAAGTAAAGGCAAAGTGGAATGTGACAAATTTTAAAGCTAATCTGTGTATACACAGAGCTGTGTAATACTAAAGGAGGAATATATTTTAGGATTTGCAAGCATCCAGGATTAATGTTGTGTCTTTTTATTGAAAATGTTTTCTTTCTAAACTACACTTTTAAAGTTATTTGTGAAAAAAAGCAAACACTTTTTTGTTATAACAGCTTAGAAATTGGTTGTGACTCACGGCTCGATGAACATGAGGCTTTTCTGCAACTCCCTTGCAGATTGATGTAGGCAGGCAAAGATACACTGAACCTTTATAAATAAAATAGAGGGGCCACAATTGTTCAGTTTGTATGAAATAAAAATATGGGAAGCAATTCAAAAGCAACTCAATATACAAAGAAAGCTAAAAAGCACTTATTCACCTATGAAATAAAGTGCAAAGAATCTGCACAGCCCTGCGAATGTGCCAATGTGAACTTACAACTTCATTACTTCAGTAGAAAAGAAAACACAAACCACAGCAGGTATATAGCTTTGCAAAGGTGCAACCGCTTTCTCCTGAGACAACCATCATGATCTTTCACTCCTCCCTACAACCGTCATTGTACGACCTACCTAACGACTGCCAAGTGCTAGCTAAACAGAGTCTCTCCTATATGGCTGGGAGGGGAAGGGGGCTGGAAAGGCACTCGGCAGGAACCAACGTTAGAAAAGCTCAGTTTACGGCTGCTCTTGGTGCAGAACAGGAACGGCCGGGGTTTCCGGGCCCATCCGGCTCCCTCGGGTTGTAGGTAGCTTCTTCCCCGAGGAGCCTCGGAGGAGCTCCGCCACCCGGCTGCCAGCGATGTGGAGCCCACGGGGGCGCCAGCCCTTCGCCGACTCCCCGGCTCCCCGAGCGGCGCCGGGCCGCGGGACAGGGAGAAAGTCGCAGGACGGCAAAAGGGGAGGGGGCTGAAGCCCCACCGACGACTCGGGCTCCGAGGGAGGAGCCCACCGGGGACCCACCGCCAGCGAGGGAGAACCCGGCCGCGGCCGCTTCCAAAGCGAACCGGCTCAGACAAAGGCCCGGCGCCTGCGGTCGGCGCGCGGGGGAGGGGAGGGTGTCCAGCTCAGGCGCAGGCGCAGACTGTCGCGGCCCCCGCCTCAGGCCGCCCGGCGGCCTCGCCTCACTCCCGCCCCAACCCCTCGCCTGTCCGGCCGCTCCGACTCACCGTCCCGGGCCGTGCCCATGAGTTGGTCCAACAGGGCCCGCATCTGCGCCTGGGCGGACATGGTGGCCGGCGAGGGCGGCAGGGACGGCCGCGGCGACTCCTCTCACAGCGGTGGCGGCAGCGGCGGCGGCGGCGGCGGCAACGAAGGCTTGTCGCGTCGGCCTCGAGCCCGCTCGGCTCCTTCCCGCCGCGGGGGACGCCGGGAGGAAGTGCGTCGGTGCGGGCCTTGAGCCTGCTGGGAAATGTAGTTTCTGGGGCGGAATAGGTAACGAAACTCCGCCCTAGAGGAGACCGGCAGGAGTGGTCCAAGCAAGATGTCCAAACGGCGGAGCCAGAAAAGTCCCAACCCTGAATTTATTCTAGAGCCCGAGCCAGAAGAGTCCCAACCCTGATTTTATTCTAGAGCCCAAGCCCATATATTCTGAAGACTAAACTGCAAATAAATAAAATAAAATAAATAGGGGCACCTGGTTGGCTGTTGGTGAAGCATCTCCCTTCGCCCCAGGTCATGATCCCAGCGTCCTGGGATCGAGCTCCGCATTTGGGCTACCCGCTCAACCGGGAGTCAGCTTCTCCCTCTGCCCCTCCCCTCACTCGTGTGCGCTCTCTGTCTCTCTCTCAAAAATAAATAAAATATTTTAAAGAAAGATTCTCCCTCTCCCTTTGCGCCTGCTCTCAAAAAAAAAAAAAAAAGTATCTGGTCTGTTCTCCAAAGTGACTTACAGATTAAATCCAATTCTATTAAAAACAGCTATGGGTTTGGGGGCGCCTGGGTGGCTCAGTCCTTAAGCGTCTGCCTTTGGCTCAGGTCATGATCCCAGAGTTCTGGGATCAGCCCCAAATCGGGCTCCCTGCTCAGCAGGAAGCCTGCTTCTCCCTCTCCCACTCCCCCTGCTTGTGTTCCCTCTCTCGTTCTCTGTCAAATAAATAAAATCTTTAAAACAAATAAATAAAAATAAAAAATAAAAACCCCTATGGGTTTGTTTTGGTGAAACTTGGCCTGGTTGTAAAATCTTACTGAAGAATAAATGGCTAAAGCTTTTCAACATAACAAAAAGGTGGAGGTAGCTGTCCAACTAAATATCAGAGTTATTTTAAGTATATTGTAATTGAGACTGTGTGGTACCAGCACAAAAATGGAGAGCAATGAAACAATGACAGAGAATAAAGATGCCAGAGAGAAGCTGTAGGGAAATCTCCTCAATTTCCCAGTGCTCCTGTAAAAAGCCTTCGTCTTAGACCCTTCACCTACTATGAGCATTAGATCTGCAGCTATTTATTTGTCCAGTTAATTGCTCTGGTTCAGAAGTATAACTTCCCTTCTCTCCCTAAGAGGGCCAAGTAGTTATAGACTTGGATTAGGTGCCTAGGTATTGGGGAGAATAGAGTGTTCTCTTCCCACGTACTTACACTTCAGGGAGTGAAGCCCAGGAATTTGGAGACATCTCTAGGTCCTAAAAGTGTAGCCAAGAGACACTGGGGCAGTCTGGCCCCAGGAGAAACTCATTAACATACCAAAGGACTGGAGTGGGGAGACCCTTTGAAGAGGGGAGAAGACAGCTGCCTCTTCCCCTTTATAAGTACAGAAAGTCCCTTTCCTTCATTCCTCACGTATGTTCTGTTGGGCCACTCACGTCGGAAAAATTTCCATTGGTTCTCTTTGTGTTTCTCTGGGGGTTAAAGGCTGTGGGGGACTCATCATGCTTATTATTACTAGGGAGTCGTAAGATATCTGATCTGATCCAGAACACCCGGTGTGAGCATTACGATAAAGCCAATTAATGAAGACACTCGTGCATATCCAGATTTTTTTAAGTGTGGCAGGTGCCCTTGGGGAAAAAACAGACTAAATAAATGGCACTAGCGCTGCAGGTTATCCCCCTGATGAAGAAAAGCACGTAGCCTCCTTACACCGTCCTAAATCTATTCCAAACCGAAATAAAAACTGAATGTTAAAATGGAAACTTTAAAACCATTGGGGAAAATGTGGGAGATTTATTAGGGGTAGCGAAGGATTCCTCAAACAGGGCACAAAAGGACTACCCGTAAAAGACTGATTTATTTTTCTATTCTAAAACGGAGACTTGCGTTCGTCAAAGGCACCCCGAACGGCGATATTTACCGCACACACCACGGGTAAAGACGGTACCCTGAGCATAGCGCAACGCAACAAGCGGAGAGAGGCAAACCACGCCACAGAAAGACCGACCCGCGGCCAGAAGCGGCGCTGCAGGGGAAAGGCCACGGCCAGCAAACCGCGTGGAAGGGTGCGCCAGCCCGGGGAAGCGCAATAAGGCCGCAGGAGGTGCCACCTCAAAGGGCCGCGGCGCCAGACCCCCACGCGAGCCGGCGCGACGCGCGACCCCAGAGCCGCCGCCTCCGCAGGTGCCGCCACCCCGCCAGCCGCACCGCTCAGCAACCACCTCCCGCCGCGAGGACCCCGCTCGGTTGGCGCGCTTCCGCCTCGGCTCCGGTCGGCCGGAAGTGACGCTCGGGGGCGGGGCCGAGGAGCGCGGCGGCGGCCCGAGAGTGAGCGCGGCCTCGTCCTCCTCGCGCGTGCTCGCGGCGGGGCTCGCGCGGGGCCCCACCTCTTCGCTCGCGAAAGCTCCTCTTCGCCTGGGCGATCCGGGCGCGGGGAGACTGCCAGCCAGCGAGACCCCGCCCACGGTGTCGCCCGCCTCGCCCAGCGGCGGGTCCACGCGTGTCCGTGCAGCGGCGTGGGCGGACAGGCTGCCGCAGCGGCCGCGGCCAGCCCGCTCCGCCAGCCCTCCAGCCCCAGCGGGTCGGCAGGTCCGATTCCCGGAGGCGGTCCGCGCCAGCCCCAGCTGCCCCAAAGACCGGATTTACTCCCGGTAGGAAGCTTCCCGCCCCACGTCGGCGGCACAGTAGGTAAGCCAGTCTGTACTCGCGGTGCTCTTGAGGGTGCTGCACCGCTTGCCCGCGGGCGATGCAAAATGTAGGACCACGGAAGCCGATGTGCAGAGACGGCCTCCGTCCTCCTCTCTCTGTCGTCCGGACAGTGAACTCGCAAAGTACCCCGAAGGTCAGCTGACGTGTACTCGTGTAGGGGGGACATCGCTCGCACAGACGTAGCCTGCCTTACTGAACAAGACAGGCAGACTTCGACAGGGAAAAAGGCAAGGTCGCTCTCAGAGAGTTCCTTGCTCCCCTACAAATTGATTGGCAGTGATCTGACTGAGAGCCTGACCTTGAGCAGCCTAAGCTATCAGAGGAGGCAACTGCAGTTACTTTCGGGTTCTCTTGGAAACCGTGGGATTTCAGCTAAGGAGCTTGTGTGATAGGCTCCTCTCCCGGTACCGGCTGGGAATGTCTTTCTGGTGCCGCCACCAGATTGCACCACTTCCTTGCAGTTTCTCAGGGAGCAGGCAGTTAGAGACACTGAGTGTCTGCTGGGTGCGAGGCATGGTTCTAGGTGCTGAGACTGTAGCACTCAACAAAACAGGATTCCTGTCCTCAAGGAGCTCCATTTCTGTGGAAGGATATGGATAATAAGCAAAATACAGAGCATGCGGGGTGCACCTGGGTGGCTCAGTCCATTCTGCGTCTGCCTCGGGCTCAGGTCATGGTCGCAGGGTCCTGGGATCGAGCCCCACATCGGGCTCCCTGCTCCGCGGGGAGCCTACTTCTCCCTCTCCTGCTCCCCCTGCTTGTGTTCTCTCTCTGTCAAATAAATAAATAAAATCTTTAAATATGTATATATAGAGAGAGAAAGAGAGCATGCTAAAGACAAAGTACAGAGCAGGGAAGGATGAGATGGAAATGATCCAAGTATCAAGTGGACATTTATTTGCACATTTTACCAGCTCTCTGGACCTTGTTGTACTGATTGGAGTGCTTTTGGTTTCAAGTGTTGAGAATCCATTAAAACTAGCTCAACCTATGGTGGCATTCTACGGGCTTTCATATGGGAAAGTTCAGAGGACCAAGAATAGGAGGGGCCAATGGCTTAAATTAGGTCATCAGGACTTGGTAATGGTGTGTGGGGGAGGTCTTCTTGGTCCCCCATCCTTTCACATACCTCCTCTTTGCCCTGTTTCTGTGTTGGCTTTTTTCTTAGGTTCCTGCCTCCATCCTACTTACTTATTTAGTTATTTGCTGCCGCATAAAAATCAACATAAAAATTAATGGATTGGAGCCCCTGGGTGGCTCAGTCGGTTAAGCATCTGCCTTCGGCTCAGGTTATGATTCTGGGGTTGTGGGATAGGGTCCCGCATCGGGCGCCTTGCTCAGCAGGAAGCCTGCCTCTCCCTCTGCTTGCCGCTCTCCCTTGCTTGTGCTCTCTTTCTTGACAAATAAATAAAATCTTAAAAAAAAAAGAAGTAATGGAGTAAAACATCCTACATTTATTATTTATTTATTTGTTTGTTTTTTAGAGGTGGGAAGGGGCAAAGGGAGAGAGAAAGAGTCCCAAGCAGGCTCTACACCCAGCATGGAGCCCAACACAGGGCTTGATCTCACAACCCTGAGATCATGACCTGAGCCAAAATCAAGCGTTGGATGCTTAACCAACTGAGTCACCCAGGTGCCCCAAACATTTATTATCTCCGTTTCTGTCCGTCAGGAATTCAGGAGTAGCTTAGTGAGGTGATTGTGGTTCAGAGACTCATATGGTTGCAACCAAAACATTGGCTGGTGCTGTGGTCATCTGAAGCCTGGACCAGGACTCTTGGGTCTGATTCTAGATGACCCACTCACATGGCCAAAGACTGGAGGCCTCAGTTCCTTGCTGTTGGCAGGAGTCCTTATTTCCTTGCCTGGTGGGCCTTTCCATAGGGCCTGCGTCCTCACGTGGTGGTGGTCTTCCCTCAGAGTCAGTGATCAGGGAGGGGGGGCGGGGCGGATGGAAGCCACAGTGCTTTTTGTGGCCTAGCTCAGGAATTCTGATTCTGTGACTTCTGCCATATTCTATTTGTCAGCATTATTAAGTACAAAAGACTTCACCTTTTAAGGGAGTCACACCAAAGAGTTTGTGAACGTATTTTAAAACCACCATTCCACTTATCACTCCTGTGGGAAAAGAGTGCCTATTCCCTATAATTGCAGGTGAACTCTGGCCTGATATTCATCTGGGCTCTAATCAGTTAGCTAGACCCGGGTAGGGAGCCCTCCCCAAAGTGGGGATGCGTCAGTCCCACCAGAACTGCATTGAGCATGTGGGAAAGTAGATTTCCCCGAGGGAAATTAAGGTGCTGTTACTAGAGAGAATGGATGTCAGGCAGTCAGTGACCCCTACAAGTGACTTAATACCATTATTTAAAATCAGGTTTTAAAAGTCAACTCCTTGGGCAAGCTGTAGATTTCAAAGCAATGGTTAATAAATCCATTAATAATTACCCTTCCAAGAAAAGAACATGAGCAGAGCAGAGCAAGATTTGGAAATTTATTCAGACATGTGAATGTGTTTATTTTATGCCAGGCACTATGCTTTGTCCTGGGAAAACAAAGGCGATAAAAACAAGTGTAGGCCCTCAGGCCCTTCCCGGTCTGGGGGTGGGTCTCACCAGTGGCTCAGTGAGGACTGAGCAGTGTGCATGGCAAGATCAAGTAGAGTGGGCTTTGAAGGCACACAGGGGTTACTAGAGGAAGAAGGGCAGACGAACAGTGTGCACAGAAGATCAGCACTGTGACTGGAGAACAGATCCTGGATGTAGGATTTGGAGAGAGGTAACACCAGAGGTGGCGGACTGAAGAGCTGTCCTAGCTTTGTTCTAAAGTCCTGAGGAGTCATTCAGCAGTTCAAAGCAGGGGAATGGCATTTTCAGGAGATATTTTAGAAGGATGTCTCTTGCAGCGTCGAGGAAAGAAAGTTGGAGAGGGCTCCAGAAACCCAGGTGAGAAGTTGTCAGAACAGCACCTAAAGCAGTGGAACTGAATTGCAGACGGAAATACGTTGGCATCCATAGGGTTTGTTGGATGTTTCAAAACCTACTCTAATCTCACTCACAACTGGTCTTTATAAACTTAATGAATTTCGTTCACACTCTTCCTTTATAAAATTTATAATGGAGCTTAGCTTGTTTGGATGTGATGTCAAAAAAAAGGAAGAAGGAGAAGGAGAGTGCTGATTCCTAAGTGAACACCAGCAGAGACAAGGCAGATCCAGCCACAGGCCTCTCAAGTGTCCAGTTCAGAAAGATCAGAGGTGGGCTGTAGGGGACAAGCGCTCCATCCACATGTGTTGGTAACTGTTGGACCTGGCTGATGGGCACATGGGCTGTGGGGCTCTACTCTTACAAATATGTTTTATTTTCTTATTGTTTTGCTGGGCAGCAAAGCAAGGTAAGCTCCTGAGGAGGGAGGGGATCCGAGAGGGTTGCCCTGCTCTTATGAATAATCAAACATTGACATGACAAAAGGTTTTAAAAAAAATAATGATAAAAAGTAAGTAAAGTTAAGACCTACTGGTCTTGCAGAGTTGGTCAAAAGTGATGGAGTGGGCGCCTGGGTGGCTCAGATGGTTGAGCGTCTGCCTTCGGCTCAGGTCATGATCCCAGAGTCCTGGGATCGAGTCCCGCATCGGGCTCTCTGCTCCTTGGGAGCCTGCTTCTCCCTCTGCCTCTCTCTCTCTGTCTCTCATGAATAAATAAATAAAAATCTTAAAAAAAAAAAAAGTGATGGAGTAAGAGTTACACTTTATCTTTTTAAGGGCTTTTGCTTCCCCCCCACACGCCCCCTTCCCTTAGTGTAAAGACAAGAAGTGGGGCGCCTGGGTGGCTCAGTCGTGGAGCGTCCGCCTTCGGATCAGGTCATGATCCCGGGGTCCTGGGATCGAGCCCCGCGTCCAGGCTCCCTGCTCAGCAGGGAGTCTGCTTCTCCCTCTGACCCTCTCCACTCTTGTGCTCTCTCTCTCTCATTCTCTGTCTCTCAAATAAATCTTTAAAGGGGCGCCTGGGTGGCTCAGTCGGTTAAGCGTCTGCCTTCAGCTCAGGTCATGGTCCCGGGGTCCTGGGATCAAGCCCCGCATCGGGCTCTCTGCTCTGCGGGAGGCCTGCTTCTCCCTCTCATTCCGCCTGCTTGTGTTCCCTCTCTCGCTGTGTCTCTCTCTGTCAAAAAAAAAAAAAAAAGACAAGAAGTAACACCAGTGTAGCAGTCAAAGGAGATAAAATCTGCCTTAGAATTCAAGGAAAAGGCTACTCTGTGCTATTTTCTGAACAAACTATGAAGTTATTCTGTGTAATAGTTACCTGTCTGAAGTGCAGATGGATGTTCATCCTTGACTGACACTTGGGAGGTACCGGGAACCATCCTCGGTCAGGCTGGTGAGCGCTGACTGCACGTGCCTTTATCCAGGAACCAGGACCTTCCAATTTGTTCTCGTCTGAAAGATGATGTCGGGCCTGTTCTTTGTCTTCAGATGTTTTTTTGGTGAAGAGAGGAAATAGTTGTTCATCTGTAAGCAACAGAACACTATAGATGTCATTGTCTGGCTTCCACTTTGCTCCGCCAAAAATTCAGTGCTGCCTGCTGGGATACTGTGGGTGCCTCTCATACCCCGTGTTGGACCGCTGTCAGAATACTTGGGCCGCTCCTGGCCTCCTAGTGTAGGAGACGTTCTTAAACCGCTTGTATGCATAACAACCAGCTGTAGGGACGAGCCACGGAGCGTACTTGCTGTAAGATCGATTAGCGAGGGGCGCCTGGGCGGCTCAGTCGTTAAGTGTCTGCCTTCAGCTCAGGTCATGGTCCCAGGGTCCTGGGATTGAGCCCCGCATCGGGCTCCCTGCCCCGCGGGAAGCCTGCTTCTCCCTCTCCCACTCCCCCTGCTTGTGTTCCCTCTCTTGCTGTGTCTCTCTCTGTCAAATAAATAAATAAAATCTTTAAAAAAAAAAAAAAGATCAATTAGCGATCACAGACCCTGAAGTCTGGAAAGGTGGCCCCGAAGCACAGAAGACGATGGTGCGTGGTCTGAAAATTCCCTTAAAAGAATGCTGTAGGGGCTCCTGGGTGGCTCAGATGGTTGAGCGTCTGCCTTCGGCTCAGGTCATGACCTCAGGGTCCTGGGATCGAGCCCCGCATCGGGCTCCCTGCTTGGCGGGGAGCCTGCTTCTCCCTTTCCCTCTACTGTTCCCCCTGCTTGTGCTCTCTCGCTCTCTCTGTCAAATAAATAAAATCTTAAAAAAAAAAAAAAAAAGAATGCTGTAAAATTCAAATTTTAAAAGTTAGCAGGGGATTTCTTATTAAAGTACCCTGCAGTGATTTTTTCTTTAAAAAAAAAAAGGAAAAGAAATCAAATTTTAGTTTAAAAAAGTAGACCCCCTACTTCTGTAGAGTTGCCAGTTACTTGTCCTGCCAGTTTTCTTTCTGTCCTTGCCACAGATATTTTTATACTTTCTTAATCCATTAACAATTAGAGTGAGACTTTTCTAATTTAAATGTTCTGTTCTCTCTGACTCAGCAAACCATAATTAGAGAAAGAGCCTTTGGAGAAACTGGAGGTGCAGCTTCTGCAGATACGCCTGCCCCCTGAAATGTTGATGACCTGCCTGAACTGATTTTATCCTTCCCCCTGATTGGAGTTGCCACCTGGTCGCTGTCCCAACAGCCCGCCTTCCGGGGAGGACAGGTGTGGCAGCTGCGGTGGCCGGGAGCAGACATACCCACGGTAGCTGGGAGCCAGGAGAGTAATCTGGGGGGGAACCAGGCCCACGGGCCATTGGCTCCTGTCTCTCCAGGTGCCCTTAGGGTCACATCTTTTCAGGCATTTTCTTTCTCATCTGTGACATTTCTCTTCGTTTCTTTGCTTTTTATTTGACATTAAGTTAAAAAGTGGACTTTTAGTTTTACCACTGATAACTCAGAATTGATAGGAGAAAATCCCAGTTAATGACTGTCGCAGAATCCTGTGACTTGGTGTCTGTTTTCTGTCCTGGCGACCACCAGCTTGTTAGAACCGACCAAAAAGGATACTGGATGCGAGTCTCTTTACCTCAAGGCCTTTTTCCTGTATTATCTTTTCTTCACCTTTTATATCGTAACAGCTTTTATGTTCAATAAAAAGCTCTTAATTCCATTTTGGTAGCTGGAAAGTGTTAATGCCACGAACACAAATGTGGATTGTCTTCCTTTTGGGCTTATTGACAGGTGTTAACACATGTTGCTAGTCCCCTAGGACTCCTCTCCTGCTTCTCACATTTCATGTCGCTGACACAGAGGTGAACATCGCGTTCCCAGGTGGGGCTTGCAGAAGCCTCTGTTACGTGGGTGTGCATATTTAAAGCCCACAGGCCCGCGGCTCTGAGTCTTTCCTACGCTAGCAGATGAGGACTAATACATAAACACACTCGATGTCGGGGATGTGGTTTGTTCCAGCTTTACGGTTTGCAGACGTTTCCTTGTGCTATTAGATGCAAAATACCTTTTAAGTTTCTCTTATTCCCTCTTTATGGGGAATTTAACAACAGAGGTTACAATTTGAAACAAAAGTGGGGAAAAAAACCCAGCAGTTCATAGACGTACAGATTTAGTTTGGGGAGAAATCTTGGGCGCTTTGTTTTTCAGCCTCTTGGCAGATGGGGTTGGCCCTTGGCGCCACGTCTCTCACTTGGGTTGTGAGCGGGGCGCCGCACAGCGGCCCAGCCTCTTCGCCAGGAGGGGAGAGGTTTGTCCCTAAGTGGGCAGTTCCGGTGCTGTCCCCGGCGCGCTGCAGCGTTGACGTGCGGGCCCTACCCAGCCCTGCGTCCCGATGCGCTGAGAGCCCTCCTCCGACCCTGCTCCTCAGAACAGGCCCTGGGGAGTCAGGAAGCTCCTCCGCTTCCAGCAGAGGATGATTTTGTTTCCTATTCCCAGACCCCCCAAGATCACCGTGTTCACCCTGCGGTTTTCCTGCCAGGTAGCAGGGGGCTGAAAGCACTTTGCTGTGTGAGAAGTGTTCAGGTATGTAGTAAGCCGAAGCTGAAAAAGCCGGGCGGGGAGTCCAGTCGGGGTAGACTTCATCTGGAAAGACTTGTGTTCTTTCCTTGGAAAGTTTTCTTGTTCTGCACCAGAAAGAGCCCCGAGAAACCCAAGTAAGTCATGGGAAAGTGAAAAAAAGTACTGGCTCTGGGCTCCCACTCGTATGTCCTATTAGGTTAACAATAGGATTGAGGAAACTGGGTTATTGGCTTGTTTTAGGTTCTGTTTTTGTTTTAAGATTTTATTTATTTGAGAGAGAGAGAGAGAGCGGGAGCACAAGCAGGGGGGAGGGCCAGGCAGAGGGAGAGGGAGAAGCAGGCTCCCCACTGATCAGGGAGCCCCACGCGGGACTCGATCCCAGGACCTGGGATCCTGAGCCGAAGGCAGACGCTTCACCGACTGAGCCACCCAGGCGCCCCTGGCTTCTGTTTTTTAAGAAAAAGCCTTGGCTGTGGTGCCAAGGTTTCGGGTGGCTGGGCTTAGAGTTCCGGGAGAGCCTTACCTGGGGCCCCAAGAGGACGTTTCCGGTCAGTTTAATACTCCAGAGCGCCCACACCTTTTCCAAGCCCTCGGGGGCTGTTGAGCAGGGCAAACTCCCACCCCTTTGGCCATTTACATTTTCGTGGTGTCCTTGGACTCCCTGACCCCACGTAAACTCTGGCATTTGCTTTGTGCTCTGGGTGTTTTGCAGTATCATTATAAGCCGGTCATGCTGAAGAACTGCAAGCATCTTTCTTTTCCACAGTGGGAAGGGAGATGATTGCTAGGCGTAGTCTTCAGAAAGCTGGTCATTATTTTGAAATAGAGAATTGTAGCCTGTCAGGGGTTTGGCTGTTCTTGCAGATGCCTTCAAGTTACCACAGAACTCCATTGTTGTTGATATTCTGCCAAAAACAAACAAAACGAAGCACACAGAGTTCCCTGCCTTTGGAACAGAAGAGCTTCCTACTAAGGTAGTGGGGCGGCCTCACCCAGGGCCGCCCGTGGGGAAGCTGGTCCTTCCTCTTAGCTTGTGGGAAGCTCCGAGCCCCACCCTCTTGCACAGGTTTTCCTTTTTTCTTTTCTTTTTTTTTAACTGTTTATCTTGAACTAATTATAGACTCTAGAGATGTTACAGAAATTGTGAGGAGCTGTCCTCGTGCCGTTCAGATGTCTTACATAACTGTCCACATTATCAGAAGTAGGAAATTGACCTCGGCACAAACATCAGCCTGGCTGCTAGGCTTCACTCTCTTCCACCTCACCAGTTACTACTCGCACTCATTTGTACGTGGGTCTCCTTCGATGAGATTTTATCACAAGGAGGTATTTGTGCAGCCCGGATAGATCAGATACAGAACTGACCGTCAGGACAAAGGACTCCCAGGCCGCCGCTTCCTCTCTGCCCCCATCCCTTACTGACCCCCAGTTCCTGCACCCACCCCAAAGACCCAGCTCAGCTCGGGATTCTAGAGAGAGCTGCTGGATGTAATGTGCTGTCCCTTCCAAGAATGGAAACCTCTGGAGGAGGATCACAGTGTCTTTCATCTGTTTGTTATTATAAAGCATCTTTAATTTCACTGGGACAAAGTCTTGGAACCCTGTTAATGATTAAATAAAGAAGAAGAAATTGTTAAGAGTAATTGAAGTCAGCCGGTGATTCATCCAGAAACACTCAGGGACAACTTGCTCTTATAGAGATGGGGCCGGAGCTGGAAGTCGGCCTTTGGGTTCAGCCTCTAGTCCTCAAGCATCAGGGTCACAATGTCCTGGGTCCCGTCTCTGGGCACGTGAACCCCCTCCCAAGGAGGCGCAGTTCTTTCTGTGGCCACCGTAGGGGCTCACATCTCCTCTGCGCTGGCCCTGGTCCTACACCTCCCCTACCATACGAAGCCTTACCTTTGAATTTTCAAAGATGTCACAAGGAAGAATTGTTTATTATTGACCCCAATATAAAAATACTCCTGTGAGGTCAGACGTCGCCCGAGGTGAGGACTGTGGCCTTTGGAGTTGCTCACAGTGTAACGTAATGTCTCCAGGAATCTAGGTGGCTCCACCAGCTGGACTAGGAAGCCCAGATGTTAACATTTTCATGGTATTTCTCTACGTTTAAAATAAGTTTTTCCTTCGGGATAGGGCTTGCTCTCTTTTCCTGTAGGACTTTGTGCTGGGTGTCTGCTGCCTTCTCCAGATTTCTCTGGGGCACGGGGTGAAGGTATGGGGGAGTGAAGGGGTACCGGCCGCATCTGGAAAGCCCCACCTGAGAATACAGGGTTGTTGCAGACCCGGCAGTTTGAGGGCTGCCTGGCCTGTCTTGGGAGGAGCCCATGGTGAGAGGCCGTGGGAGGTGAGGCAGTGTCCAGGGCCCAGGAGCCTCGTCTCAGGTGGGTTGCTCCTAGGGCCATGGTCTCACTGTGGTCTTGGCCTCCTACCATCTCTGGATGTCCACCCATGTCCTCATCCATCAATCTGGATACTGTCCAGTCTCTTTCCAACAAAATCCCTTTCTACCTAATTCTGCTAAGATCTCTTGGGCGAGCAAGAACTAGGCAGACAGACAGGCTAGGTAGGTAATATGGCCAAGGTGCCCCAGATAAGGGGGTGAACCTCCAGGCCCAGCCACTCCCCTGGACTTTGCCCTTCCTCATGACTTAGATTAGGTGAGAAGTCAATGTTCCTCAATTGTGATGTCCCCACCCCTCAGCCCCAAATAGCCAGAAATGTTCACTGGCTTTGGGTCACATTTGGTTAGAAAAATCAGAAAGACTTCACATTTGCTGAGGGCCTTAAGGGATGGATGGGGTTTGAAAGGGAAGGACGTTCTAGGCAGACTTAGCAACGGGGAAAGCGTTAGGATTAGGCTTTTCAGGGCCACTGAAGGCTCTGTCCATTCACGTGAGCAGCACCGTGTCGCAGGTGAAAATCACCTGGTGTGGCTTCTTCCCTGGTGCTCTTTAGACACTTGGAAGACTCCATGTTGAAAACGGGATGAGGTCTTACAGAGCACAGAATCTGGATCGGGGGATGGTTCTGGGAGAGCAGATCTCAGTTGGGACCGGGCAACAATGGGAGGTCTTCCAGCTTCTCTGCTCCACCATCTGCAGGCTGTAGAGAGCAGTCCCTCCAGACTTCACTCATATACCACTCGGGACTTCAGCCATATTTGCAGAATACCTATAAAATTTCACTGGGGCGCCTGGGTGGCTCAGTTGGTGAAGCATCTGGCTTCGGCTCAGGTCATGATCCTGGGGTCCTGGGATTCAAGTCTCATGTCGGGCTCCCTGCTCGGTGGGGAGCCTGCTTCTCCCTCTTCCTCTGCCTCTCGGCTGCTTGAGCGCGCTCTCTCGCTCTCTCTGTCAAATAAGTAAATAAAATCTTTTTTTAAAAATCATTTCATTTAGTACTTTTCTTTAATCAACTCCTTTATTTATTTATTTGAGAGGGAGAGAAGAGCGCAAGCAGGGTGGGGGAGAGGGGCATAGGGAAAGGGAGAGAGAGAATCTATCTTTTTTTTTAAGATTTACTTTTTTTTTTTTTTTTTTTTTTTTTTTGAGCGAGAGAGAGGGTGCACATGAGCAGGGGGAGGAGCAGGGGAGAGAGAGAGCGTCCCAAGCAGGCTCCAAGCCCCTCACGGAGCCTGACGTGGGGCTCAATCCCAGGACCCTGAGATCATGACCTGAGCCAAAATCAAGAGTTGGTCGCTCAACCGACTGAGCCATGCAGGTGCTCCTCATTTCTTCTAGTTAAAAACACCTTAAAAGAACACCCTGGGGCAGCCAGGGACAGAAATAGAGGACACGGCACAGTTGGAGTTTGGCCCAAGCCCAGCATCTGAGCCCCCATCCCCGTGGCCTGGGCTGGGACTCTCACAGGTGCTACTACTCTAGGAAACTGCAGTAATGACTGAAGATATCCCTAATTTGGTAAAAGACATAAACTTACAGGTTCAAAGCTGAGCAAACCCCAGACAATGAAGCTCCTGAAAACTAAAGACAAAGAAAGAAATTTAAAAGCATCAAGAGAGAAATTGGCATCTTCACAAACGGGGAAGAACCATTCCAATGACAGCAGATTTCTCGCTGGAAACGACCAGAGGAGGTGCTGAAAACATGCTCAAACCCTGGATCCTGCACCTGGTGTTAGCATTCTGCAGGAATGATGGAGAAACCTAGACATCATCACGTGAAGGACAATTAATTTGTTGCCCCAGGGGCCCTTGGGTGGCTCAGTCGTTAAGCATCTGCCTTCGGTTCAGGTCATGATCTCAGGGTCCTGGGATCGAGCCCCGCATTGGGCTCCCTGCTCGGCGGGAAGCCTGCTTCTCCCTTTCCCCCTCCCCCTGCTTGTGTTCCCTCTCTCTCTGTCTCTGTCTCTGTCAAATAAATAAATAAAATCTTAAAGAAAGAAAAAATTTTGTTGCCCCAGATCTACTCTAAAAGAATCACTGAAATAAGTTCTTGAAACAGAAAGGAAATGGGAGAAGAAGGGGTCTTGGAATGTCAGGAAGAAAAAACAGAAAAAGTGAAACTCTGAGTAAATACTTCTCCTGAGTTTCGAGTCCTGTTCAGTGGTTGATGTAGGATGCGTTTCGTTGACATGGGTCTCAGTGTCTATAGCGGAAAGACCTGTCCAGCGGCAGGTAGACTAAGGGACCTAAGGTTTCTGCCTCCATCTGAGCCAGTAAAAGGCTGACACCAGTCACTGTGATAAGTTAGGTGTATCTAATGTGATGCCCAGAGCAGCCACTCAAAAATCTATACAAAATGCTACAGCCAAATGAAACTAGAATTCTAAATAACGTCAGGTAACCATAGGAAGTCAGGAAAGAGAAAACCAAGACACAAAAAACAGGGAACCAGCAGAACAAAAAGGCAAGTTAAAGGCCTGACATCAATAATTTCCTTAAAAGTAAATGACCTGAAGGTAAAAGACAGATTGGCAGAGTGGATTTATAGGAAAAAAATGACCCATATGCTGTCTAAAAGAAACCTACTTCAAATATAATGACACATGGGGCGCCCTGCTGGCTCACAAGAGCATGTGACTCTGGATCTCAGGGTCATGAGTTCGAGCCCCGTGTTGTGTGTAGAGATTACTTAGATAAATATCTATCTATCTATCTATCTATAGATATATACGTGTATATAATGCTCTCTATATATTTAATGATACAGATGGATTGGAAGTAAAAAGATGGACAAAGATAAACCATGCAAACTTTAATCAAAAGAAGAATAACTATATGAATATCAGATAGAGCAGACTTCAGAGCAAGAAAAGAACTAGGGACAGAGTGGAACATTGTGTGATGATAAAAGGGTCACAGCAATCCTAAATATGTGTGCAACAAACAACAGAGCTACAGTTTCTATAAAGACTAGACAGTGATTGCCATACAATTAATTCAGCAGCTACACTGCTGGGCATTTATCCCAGGGAAGTGAAAACCTATGTCCCTACAGGAATCTGCATGTGACTTTCACAATGACTTTATTTAAGACCTTTTGTTTTAAGGAACCTCTGCACCCAACTTTGGGCTTGAACTCATGACCCCGAGATGAAGAATCGCGCACACTACCAACTTTGCCAGCCAGGCGCCCCCACAGTCATTATTTAAAATAGCCAAAAACTGGTAACAACCCGCTATCCTTCGGTGTGTGAGTGGTTAAACAAACCATGGTCCCTCCGTACCAGGAAGTACTGCTCAGTAATAAAAAGTAACAGAGCAACGGTGGCTGGACCTCAGGGGCATTATGCTGGGTGGAAAAAAGCCAATTTCAAAGTTCTTGCGCTGCAATTCTATTTACATAACATTCTCAAAATGATAAAATGCTAGAAACGGAGCTTTGAGATTGGCAGGGGTCAGAGATGCTGGGGAGGAGCTGGTGGGTGTGCCCTAGGGAGAGAGCACAGGGGAGCAGTTGCATATGTTGGCACACATGAGTCCACACACGGGCTAAAACACTGCACCTGTGTTGCTTTCGGAGTCTGACACCGTGCCGTAGTTGTGCTGTGACCGCAGGGGAAACTGGACGGAGGGCAGGACCAGACCTCTCGGGGTGATCTTTGCCACTTCTAGATAGCAGTAATTTGAGAACCGACAGCAAAGGAAACTGTATATCTAAGACGATAATCACTTAACCATAAATGGAAAGACGTCTGTGAAAACTATGTATGTGACAAGGGCACCTGGGTGGCTCAGTGGATTAACCATCTGACTCTTGGTTTCAGCTCAGGTCATGAGCTCGGGGTCGTGGGATCATGTCGGGCTCCGTGCTCTGTGCTCAGTCAGCTTGAGCTTCTCTCTCCCTCTGCCCCCCACCCCCTGTGCATGTGCACACACACTTTCCCTCTCTCTCAGATAAATAAATACATCTTTAAAATATGTATACGTAACTACCGA